CCATGTGGGGAAGAAAGGTATGTTTGTTTTCAATGTAGCAAGGACAATTTAGCTGTTTTAGGTCACTAGCTAGTTTTTCAAATATCATATTTCATCTCTGGGTGTGTTGTGATGACGACTGCACTGAAGAATGGACAAAATTAATTTATCAACTCTTATTTTAGTTGATTTTCCATGTGTTCTCATATAAACATTATAGGTCTGCTTTGAAAAGGCTTCTTACTTTTCAATGGCTCATAATCTTATATCCTGGTTGGTCAAAATATCTATTATGAGATAATTTTTGTCTCCTTGTTAGATTGTGAAAACTTTTTTATTGGTTGCTTGAACTATGACTGTTTTCCTGGTTATTTTCATTATCCATCTATTTTTAGAGATGTTAAAATTTTGGTCTTCTTGTTTATTTTTATTTATCTATTTCTCTATCAGCACACACTTTCCATCTTAGAGAATGAAATTTTATAAATTTTTTTGTGTGTGTGTGTATTTTATGCATAATTTTTACTAGTAAAAATATTTTCTCTTTTCTATTTTATTGTTCTTTAATATTTAGAAGATCGTAGTATTTTTGTCTTTATTAAGTCCTTCAGAATTTGACAGAGTTGTTTGATTCTGGTTGAGATTTGACAAAATCTCTCATAGTCTTAGTTTCCAAAATTAACGCAAGCTTTAGTCTGTCAATTGAGATGATATTGTTTACATTGTCAGAAATATTTATGGTAAAGTATCTTTTGATTATGATGTAATACCTCAAATGGACTTGTGTATGATGCTTCCAGAGGGTTTCTGAACTCTGCGTGTTCATAACCAAATATGTTTACAAGTATTTAGATCTTTTGGGCCATATGAATTGAATAAAGAATGCAAACATCAGCACTGAACAGACATTTTGAAAGAGAAATTTTAAGGTCATACTCACTGAGTTTTTTAGAACTTGATCAAGGTGCTTGTAGTGAGTTTCTTTGTTGTCCAAAATGATGAGGATATCATCAATGTATATGTATATATGACTGAAGTCACAGAAGATGTTGTCCAACATCCACTGAAATATACTTGATGCATTCCGTAGTCTGAAAAACATGTAAATGTTGTACTGAATCAAGTCAAATAGTGTTGTAATGGCAGTTTTGCATACATCATCAGGGTGGACTGGTACTTGATAATAAGCTTTGGTATTATGTATAAGGCTGAACCCTATTCCAATTTTGAAAGTGATATTATTCCTGCTTTTAGTAGTTTCTTAAATTCTTCTTTTTCTATGTTAAATTTCTGTGTCGATAGTTGTTGTGGTTTAGAAAATTTGGGAGAGTTGCTACTATCCTATGAAAAACATTTGGTTTTAATGCATTTGGGTTGCAACAAGGTGAAATTATGTTTGGATATATTTCAATAATTTTCTATAATGCAATGTTACAGTGTTAACTTGGTCCACTATGATGATCATAATCTCAGGAGTTGGCTCTGCATTAGAGTGTTGTTGTGTCAATCAGTCTATTGTTTGTGCAGTTGACTGTCAGTCTGAAATAACCAAGGAGAGGTTTTAACGCACAAGTGAACTCACATCTGAAGTTGTTCATGGCCAAATTTAATGTAGCTTGTTCTGAGCACTTAATCTTTTGCCTTTTAAGTGGACATAATGGAGACATTTGTTGAGTAGATAACTATAGCACTTAAATATTTCTTTGATATGATCAATATGTAGCTCCTTGTGTCCACAACAAAGTTAATCTTTTGAGTCCCTAGTTGAGCAGCAACTTCAAGGAGTGGTGGATAATTGGAGCCTAACACATCCCACCAAATTAGTTTTCCAATGTCTCAGTAGATGAAGGTGAGTGGGAACTAGGTTATATTTTAACATTCTTTTTCTTGGGTCACTTGCATCATGGCTTGTAAAATTATGCCCTTTTCACTTTTGGTCCTTGTTTAAAGGGTGAACACGAGATGGTCAGTTGTTTGTTCTCTTTAACAAATCCATACTTCTGCTACTGCCGTGCAGACTGTGTCACTTGCTTATTTAAAATATAGCAAACTGCCATTCTTTCCAGGTGTTTCATTTTTAAATCAGTTTGGGATACTATCACTGGCCAGATGGAATGTGGTAGCACCTAAATAAACTTATGTTGAGCAATACCCTCAATAACTCCAATGTGAATGGCTAGAGATATAAGCATGTTTTGATATAATGAAGGACATCGTGTCCTGTTGGAAGGTGTTATCAATTTATTGAACATCTCCAATTTAGATTCCTCATGTGAGTTTATTACAACTCTTTATTTTTGATTGATTGGTTGGTTGCAGTTTTCAAACAATATTTGGACAAAGTGATACCAGTATGTCATAAAACTTTTGTCATGCTTCTTTGATGTCTGCAATGCAGAACTGGGCTTTCATGATGGAAAACAACACTTGCACGTTAAATTAGATAAAAATAGGTGGCTTAATGGATACAGCCTGTGTTGGACAGCAAGCATCTGTTCAGTTTCATTGTTGTACATGTGATTTTAAAAAAAAAAATATGTGTCAGGTAGATTGGAGAATACCAAATATGTTTGTTTCGTGAATGCATATGGGAAAGAATAAGGGAGAAAATGTAATATATATATGCATTTGTGACACTAAAAAAGAATAGAATTGCATGGAACAGATGCATGTTGCATGCTAAATAGTGTATAATTGGATTTAGGTGTCATTTACTAGTAAATGACAAAATAGGTTGGGGAGGATTGTGACACTATTTAGCTATGGTAATTGGCTAACTAATTAACCATAGTAATTAAAAACAGGAAATACTTAAGGCGAGAAAGAGCTATACCAAAAGATAGACTGAGCGACATTAAAAAGAATTTATTTTATTTACAAAAGAAAGATACTTTTCGCAAAAGACAGAAAATCTGTAAGAAAAAGCGAGACTGTGATTCTGTCAAAATTAATTAATGTCATAAGGAAGTGATGCACCAATATAAACAGAATTCAGAGAGAAAACCAAAGCTGGCCGACACATGCGGCCATGTAGGAAACTTGGCTTGGGGCCACCCTGGAGAATAGCTATTAATTATCTTTCAGAGATATCATTTAACTTTAATTCTTGATTCCAGCAAGGGAAGCCATCTGGTATATGCACTAATCTTGACATGCAAAAGAGTCGAAGAGGGGATCATTATTATTGCTTATTCAAACTGTTGACATCAGACATAGCGTCTTGAAAATGAGCATCTGATAAGAGAATTTTAAGGCACGAGAAAAATAAAAAAATTTAATTATCAGGTAAACACGATCTGAGTGTCCCCAAAATCAAGATGTGATAAGAATTATTTGGCAATCTGTGATTTGTAAATGTTTTGGCCGAAGAAAAAAGGATTTGTAAACAAATTTTTTGATAATAATTCTAAGAGGGCCAGTCTAGCCACACCCACACTGCTGAGAGATCATTGGCCAACTGGTAGCATGGGTGATAGGCGGAGCTGAATGTATGGGAAAGACGGAGAAGTTGTTAACACCCACTGAGAGGATTGGTATGAGATACCAATGTGAGAAAGGAAGAGTCTCGAAGGATAACTCTCCTCCGACCTTCCTCACAGATGAGGGAGGAACTCCGAAGTGGATAGTGATTAATCTTCCAAAAATGGGAAGTAATTAATTTTCCTGGCCTAAGAATAAAGAATTCTTGTTGGGAATTGAGAATTGTCAAAGAACCCAAACCACAACAGGCCCCCACACTGGAGTTGGTCGGTGTCCATATAAACGATCGTCTCGAGAGTTTTCAGCAGTTCACAGACAGTTCGAGTTTGGAGTTAGTTCAAGAGTGTTGCCTCAAAGAAGCTGACCTAAAGATTTCCACATCCTTTTCAATTTAGTCTTCTTACCAAAAGCAAGTTTTATTGACGAACAACTTAAGAAACACAAAAAGTGTCACAAATCCATAGAAATGGGCTGGAAGAGAAACACACTCCTGTATTCAACAGATAAAGATAAAGATAATTGTTATTTCTCAACATATTTGAACCTCTTGAGTTGTTTTATTATTTTCTTTTACTTACGCTTGTGTGGTATCACCTTTACCCTGGATTCAGCTTGCACTACAGCCTGACGCCTGATTGATTTTGTCTACCTAAGATCAAAATCACAACGTGGGTAAGTTAGACTTGAGATCAAAGTAGTTACTTCGGTGACCAAGCGTGGGAGGTGAGCTGAGAACCACAAAGTTGGTATCGAACAGGACCAGGCTGGTGGCAGCAACAAGAAATCAACCCCAAACGCTGGTGGAAGAAACCTTACAGCTTCACACCGCAACTGGGAGTTGACGATGGTACAGTGTCATATATTGACATCGCGACCAGTGGATGTCACATATTGGCGCTGGACCGCGACTGTGACCACCAGTGGGTGTCACACATTTATCTAAATATATACAAGAGATAAAGAAAGAGGTAAAGATGTAGTATATATATGTATGTATTTTTGTATGTATCCAAATGTAGTAGCTGCTGCCTGAGCATTTGGTGAAGGAAAGTATGTTTGTTTTCAATGTATCAAAGACAGATTAGCTGTGTAAGTTTGCCAGCTAGTCATGCAAATGTCGTATTTCATCTCTGGGTATAATACAATGACCACAGCATCAGATAATGGACAAAATGAATTTACTGAGTCTGATTTGGGGTGATTTTTTCCATCTGTTTATATACACATCTATAGGTCCACTTTGGAAAGGTTGCTTGCTTCTCATTGGCTCACAGCATTATATCTTGTTTGGTGAAACTGATTATTTTTAGAGATGGCGAAATTTTTGGTCATCTTGTTATTTATTTTTATTTGTCTATTTTTTCTATCACAGACATTTAATAAACTTCATTTAAAAATGTCTTTGAAATTTAATACTTTCATGTTATACAGTATAAAATTAGATATGTACACTTTTAAAAAAAAATTTTGTCAATGTTTATGTTGACATTTTGTAACTGAAACCAGGTTCTATACTTGGATTTAATTTGTTTTTTTGTTAGGAACCATCATGTGTTATGGTCAAACTGGAGCTGGTAAAACCTTCACAATGTCTGGAGTTAATGAGAACTTTCAAAATCGGGGCTTGATTCCACGAGCTTTAACTCAGTTGTATAAAGAGATTGAGGGTCGTCAAGAAGATGCTGTCACTATCAGGTAAATCTCCATATCTCTAAAATAAGATTTCTTCATCTTTCCAATTATTCTTTGATACACACATACCACTATGCTTTACGTTCACTAGATTTCCTTGTCTTAGAAATATACTGTATTTTGGGTAAATTAGATTGGAATCTTTTCATGATTTTAATAAATAAATCTTTAATTTTTATGTTAAAAAATTACAGATAAAAAACAAACTTTAACTATACATTGACAAAAATCTGTTCTTTTATTTTTAACTTTTACAGATTCTTACCACTTGCTCAAGTTGTTTTTTTTTCTTTTCTTTTTTTTCTTTCAGCTTTCTGAAAAGTTTTGAGAAACAAGATGTTGAAATTAACTGATATTAATTTTAACAAGACAGCATTTAAGAAATTAAATACATAGATTCTTATTGATGAAGAAATATTTTAACATTGTAACTAACTCAATAAATATTCATTTGACTTCATTGATAGCAAACCAAAGTGGCGAAAATAATATACTAGATTTCAAGAAATAGGCTTAGTCTTGATCTTCTGAAAGTAAATAGTTTTGGAAATGATTTAGAAATTATTCAAAACTTCATGCCCTTTTTCTTTTTCTTCTTTTGGTAGATTTGTAAAAATTTAATTTAGAAATTTGTGGCTATAACATGAATTTTTTTTTTTTCTGAACCTGACTGTTTTGATGACTAGTTTTATTCTTTGCTTGTATGTATTGATATAAAATGTCTGTCATTGAAGAAATGATGCTTTCACTTGAAATTAAAACAAAAATTAGCTCTTATCTATTTATAACTTATATATATATATATATATATATATATATAAGTGATCAACAAGTTCTGGTGATAATAAAACACTGCTCAAGGTAAATTAACACAGCTAAAATTTATACTCAGAGTAAGATATGCATTTGTAGTTCTGAGTTTCAAGCAAAAAACAGTCAAAAAAATGAATTCATTACAAAAAATTAGAATTAGAAAATGGAAAAATAAATATAAAGTATTTATTTAAAATGTAATTATATATATCGTTAAAAATGCAGAGCTAACTAGGGTTAAAATTGAGAAGAAAAAAGTCAATTCAAAATTTAGTAGCATTGAGCTTCCAAATATAGCCACCATTTGCAATTTCATAGCTTAATCTGGCAACTCTGGTCCATGATAGGAGATACTGCATTAATTCATCCTGTGATACTGTTATTTTTTTACTGAACCAGAAGGAAATATTTTCACTACCTCAACCAAAAATTGAATTTATGAACAATCAGTAAAAGTCATATACTTTGGCACAGTGGAAAAAGCAAGTAGAATCACAAGGACAAAGAATTAACTAATAAAAGATATTATTCATAGTCAAACTAATGACTTTGTTATTATAACAACATTTTAGCTGTTGTGCCCTCTAGCTTTCTTCAGGTTATTTTTTGTTATATATATATATTTGTTTGTTGTATAAAGAATTTCGGCAGATATAAAAAAAGGTAGACATTTGTATGCAAGTCTTCAAGATACTACATTTCTGAAAATGAGTTTGGCATTAAAATGTGTGCTTAGCTATGTTTCAATTATAAGAAATGATTTCTGTAGAAATGCACTTTAGTTTGTATTCTTTAACTTTCATTGAAATAGAAGTTCCTTTCCTTAAAGCAAATGAATATTGGATGGTGAACTTTAACAGAAAAGTTCACAGGTTCTTTAATTATCTGCCCCAAACCCCCACTCCAAACAAAAAAGTGTTTTATTTGGCAAAGAAAACATTTCTCTTGTTTTTGTTTTCTGAAAATATTTGTTTAATCTAAAGTCCTTTGGTTATTAATGTGTCAAGTCTGGAGGAAATAAAGAAATATAATTTATCTTTTCCAAATGTTTGGAAGAGAATGGAAAACAAGTGTTTTCATTTATCCCAGATTCATTATTCAAGGAGAGAAAAAAAATTAAAAACAATATTTTCAAATAACTAAAACATCTAAAAATGATGCTTCAGAAAAAAAAAAAATTGACAATGTTATTTATTTGTAAAATAGACTCCCTGTTTATATACTTAATTTTTTTTCTTTTTGGAGCACTTTGCCAAATAAGTACATTAAATGAAAACAAAACCACAAATAATTCCTGTTCATTATGAATTTTCATACTTAGCTACAGCAAAAATTGTTTCTAATAAAATCAGCTGGACTAAGCAGTTACGGATATTGTACTCACACTTTGCCCATTATATGTTTGTTGGGATCCGTTTACCCAAGTTTTGGTTGCTATCTGAGTGTCAGAATTCCAAACATTTAATAACACATCTTTTAAATTAAACATAAAGAAGGTTATTTTCTGAAGGAAAAGTAGAAATAGAACATCAGTTGAAATAATATTTATATATTCTTCTCAAAAATATACAATGACAATAAAATATTCAATTTTTCTTGCAGTGAAATTTGTTTTATAAAGTAATTAAGCATTCATAATGCTGTGAAATGTGTGAATGTATTTACTTCAAGCCAGCTTAATGTGTTTGCTAGTTCATAAACAAAGGCTTAGCTGACAGTTGCTATTTAATCCTTTCTATTGTGTGTGTGGACAAGGCCTTAGTCTGTGGGTTCTGGCTGTCTCTGTTCCATTGTGTATGTGTGGATGTATATATATGTATGCACGTGTAGATGAAACTAGCCTCCCAAATTGATTTTGAGCTCAAAGAAGAAGTATGCTTCTATTTTTATATCTGTAAAAGGGTTCAAAATAGAGGTGTGAACTTTTTGAATATAAGGTTTTCATTAGTTAGAAAATGATTTCACAATGTCTTGCGGAAAAATTTTTTTTTGAATTTGTGGGTGTGGTGAAGGGAGCTATTTTTATTTTCTAAATGGTCTAAAAATAACACGTGGTAGGTCTTCAACTACATCTTCAAGTATTTTGACAGTATTTGCCCTTGTAATGATTGTTTGATCTAAGCTTTTGTCTATGAACTAGCAAACACATTAGGCTGTCTTAAAGTAAGTACATTCACACATTTCACATAACATTATGAATGCTTAATTACTTTATAAAACAAATTTCGCTGCAAGAAAATTTTAATGGTTGAAAAATATATATAGGATTTAATTTCTATATCTTCACATTCAATGTTAGTCCCTATTTCATGGTCTAGAACTTGATACTGTAACTCATTTAAAACTAGTAACTTTGACCAGAACATTTAGTATCTCTTATCTAAAAATTGTATTTTCTCTTCAAGTTATATATATGAACTTAGTGTAGTTTTAAATAATGCAGATGAACAGATATTTTCACCAGACTATCCTATAGTATATGAAATCTATAAAATGTTCTTGCTTTTAAGTTAGAAATTTAGAAGGAATGTATTGTATCTTCAACATTTGGATAAAAAAAATGGACTATTTCTAATTAGAAACATTTTTTGTCACTTTTGGTTCAGTTTATAGACAAAAGCACCTACAAATCAATTTATCAAATAGCTTCACACTCTATTTACTTTTGATTCATTATCAATTGATTATATATGACAACTGATTCTTGTTTGCTGCTTTTAATAGCTGAATCGTTATTTTCTTCCTACTGAGTATATTTTGACTATTCTTGACAGTATACAAGAATAAATAACCTAAACAACTTCAGTTGATTATGCAAAATAATAAAGATAAATTTAAAGATATTAATTGCTAGGAAAGTTGGTTCATTTTGTTGTGCCAGACAATTTTTCTTGCATGTTTATAGATCTACCATTCATCACTGTAAAGAATATTGCAGCCACAGTTTATCTGGTGCTCCTGCTATATGTCTCAGGATTCTTGACAAACTCCAAAGAAGAATCATAGTTTCCTTGTGCCTTTTCTATAAATATTTTAAATTATGCTTTTTTTATATCTTCACTGTTAAAAATCTACAATTCTCAATAGCAGCAAAAATAGAAAAGTAATAATGCAGGTTATCCCAACATGGCAGATTTCAACAGTTGGGTGAGCAATAAGCAACTGAATAGAAAATGATAGGCAATTAGAAATTTTGTTGGGTGATATAGCATTTTCAGTATTAAAAAGGTATTTCAACATATACTAACCAGAAAAAAATATTCAAAGGAGATATGTAAAGAATCTGTATAAAAAAAATCAGGAAGCTAAATGAGAATAATAGGGTCACATTCCTAGATAAGATATAAATAATGAAGGTATATTTTGCTATTTTCTATAGTCTTAAGAAGGGTAATTAACATTCAAATAATTCTTCAGCATTAGACATAAAAAACATTTTTTGGGGATATAAATCAGAAGTGAAAACAAAGAACAAAAAAACAATATTTTCATTGAATTGTTATTAGTTGGTTGTATTATGTATTCTTTTAAATTTTATATTTAAGAACAAAATTTATTTAATGTTTTTTTTTTTTGTCAACCCTAACCCTAAAGATAAAATTAAATTAATTATATAGTGTTCAATGGTCAAGATTGCTTTCATTTGTTTTTTAATATGGTAATAGCAGAGGCAGCTACCACATCAGTCAGCATTATTTGTTACCCTGCTTTGATATTTTTTACTACATCATAAAGTCAGTTTATGAACCAGTAACAAACGTTTTATAGACTATGCAAAAGTGTTCGACAAAGTATGCCACAAAGATCTGTTGGAACTGCTTAGCAACCTTGACATATTTGGGAAAGACATTAGAATAATAAAAAAAAAAAACCTTTATTGGCAACAAACCATTTGCATAAAGATAAAAATACGAGTTCAGCAGATATACAAAAATAGAAAGGGTCGTAAAGCAAAGATGTGTCTTCTCACTGAATCTACTCAACCTATACAACAAGGCAATTCTGAGAGAAGTGGAAAGCCTATCATCTTAACAACATAAGATACACAGATGACACTGTGCTGATAGCAGAAATAGAAAGGAAACTACAAAATCTCCTACAGAAGATAGCAAAGGAGAGCGAGAAGTAGGGACTAAGCATAAACTAAAAGAAGACAGAATGTATGGTCATCATCAAAAAGATGAGCCTGA